CCAGGTTCCAAGTGCTTTTTCCTGAAACGAAAGTGCTTTCGAGTACTGTCCCATGTTATAATACACAGTACCAATGTTGTTGTAGGAGGTAGCGAACGAAGGATGATTTTTAGGAAGAGTTGTTTCTTGGTTTTGAAGTGCTTTTTCGTAATACTCAATAGCCTTTTCATAATCACATTGATGATCTTGGATATATCCAAGCTGATTATAATAAAGTGCTTTGTCGCGGTCGCTCGATATCTGTTCAAGAAGTACTTGATAGAGTTCTTCAGCTTTATTGAAATGACCTGTTTTGAGTAATAAACTACCTAATCGTTCCCACCCGGTGTCACCTTGAGCCTCTCCACTTATACATTTTGTCAGTTGTCGAAGTTGTTCGTCATCATTAGCAGTGAGTTGAAGTTCAACCTTATAAAGTCGATCATTACTGCCTATTTGTTTAATTGTGCCTACTCGAAATACAGTGTGCATGGAGAAGAGAATTTCTTCTTCTGTCTCAAAACAACTAACCTCGTGAATGGAGGCAAATGGTGTTGATGAAACACAAGGATCAATAGTCATTATAAAAAGTATTCCGATCATATTTGTTTTTACTGAGGCACTCTCGGCGAAAACGAGAGAAACACCTGGTATCCTGCTAGTGGATAAAAAATTGTTAAAAGACATGAGACCACCGTTTGAGTTTTTGAGTTTGTCGAAATTGGTTTTTAGCAAACCTTGTCCTCGATAAACTGTAAAAGGCTTACCACAATAATTTGAAAGTTGCCGTTGATATAATTGATTTATTTGTTGATGAAGGTCATGAATAAAAAATCCCATATTGATTATTGTATCTGCATCTAATGTCCGAAGTGCTTGATTGAGCAATTCATAAATGAAGCACTCACGTGTATACCACCAAATTGCTTTTTCTGGATGATAATTACGTTTAAATTCATCAATAGTATTCAGTTGAATCATGTTGTCCGAATAGAGGTTACTCCAGTACATGGTTAAGGTATTGATGGCTTGTTTGTGGTCATGCTCCATTTCAAGGAAAATTTCCTTGAATATTTGTGTGTACATGTAGTTAGGCTCCAATTGATTCAGATTTTCATTGGACAAAGTTTCATTTGCTGCGACAAAACTCATATTAATTGAATCCTGATTGACTTGTTTGACACCGCCCTTTAAAGCGTCATATATATCCTTGATATTGTTATGAACACCCTTGATCTTTTTCCAATCCTTAGTCCATTGCTGATGATCAGATATGCTGTCGCAAAGTATGTAAATGGCATCTAATTTTGGCATGTCATGGATTTCAGGAACCAAATGTTGACCAACAGATTCTGATGTAATCACGAAAGCTTTCTCATCACTGTATTTATTGAGAAACGCGATACACTCATTAGATTGAGTGCACATAGTAACATCGTTGACCACAGCTCGGAGTTGTGCCAACGTATTTTGACAGGCCTTGTTGGTTTCATTGATGCTTTCATCGACCCAAACTAACGAATAATTTTGGACCGTGCATTGACGTGTTAATGGCACTGTTGTTGTACAAGTGATGTTCGTCGCTCTTGAACTTGATGTGGAAGAAACGGTTCTCTCCAATTTGTGTGCATCCATATTAATGTGATTCACAAATTATTCGTAAATCTAAACTTATAAATAACTGTTATTATTTGTATGAATACAGAGAAAAACAATGATTTATATAGGCAATTATTTATTTTTCTATGACGCAAAATGTTTAGGGTGTATAAATTATAATCAACATTATCAATCCCTCACTCACCCTAATTTCCTTTACTCTACAAACTTTCTAAGAATTTCTTGAACACTTTTCTTTGTTTTATTCATAATGAAAACTTCACAATTGCAAGGTATGATATTTAAAAATGTATTATACTCCTGTTTATCAATGTCGAAACCTCAAAAACGTTTTCGAACAATCCTTAGAAACTCTGAAAACCACTTTGTAGTTTTGTCAAATTTCCGTATCAAAAATGTGAGAACAGCTATAAAGTCTAATTAGAAGCTCTCGCGAAAACTAAAGAGAGTGTGTGTGTGGGTATTAGTAGTATATGCATCATATACCCACATCCATACCCTAGTGAAGTCGATATATCAACACTCCTGAGTACAAATTTAAATCTAAACACTGTGGTCGAATTAAAAATGAAAACTAAACTTACTTGTGTACTATGTAATACAGTTATGTGATATACGAGTTTACTTTATGCTTTTGTAGCTGATTTCGTTCCATATTTATAATTGATAAAAGCAACTTGGTTTCTTCCAACATACACATATTTTCGAAATCAATCAACTGTACTATTTGCGTCAAACAGACAGCAACCAGCGAAACATATTTCATTCCGACTCATTAAGATTGCATGGTTTCTTCCAACATAGACATATTTACGAAACTAATTAACTATAACATTTGCGTTAAATAAGCAGCAACCAACGAAACATATTGCATTCTAACTCATCAAGACTGCTTGGTTTCTTGACGGTGCGAGTACTCTTTTATTACATCCACACTCACATCCTTCTTATTCATTTATTTTTTTTCTTCTCTCCTTCCTATCCCTCAATAAATCATAAAATAACAAAAATAAATCGAATCAAAAAACAATTTGTTTTTATTTACAAGTTCTTTTTTATTACTTTTAATATTTTTCTCAATTTGAAAAATATTTTATTTTATTTTTCTATAAAAATTAACTTTTTTATAATTGAATCTTCTTCGGAATTCTTTTAATTTCATTCATTTAAGAAAAATTGTCTGCCAATTATTTTATTTATTTTAGTTTTTAAAATTAAAAAGATTTTTAATCTAAGATTTTTTCATATTTTTGGATTCGATGATTGGAACCGTCAACAACATAAAGGTTTTCTTCATTATCAAACGATAAACCCTTGGGAGAATTTAACTGATTTGATTGATTTCCTTCACCTTCTTCATCTCCTTCACGCGAACGCATTACTCGATGATTACCCCGATCTGCCACATAAATTTGACCCAAATGATCAACAATCACTCCTTGAGGATGAGACAATTGTCTGAGACTATTTCCTTCACCATTTCCACCTGCAACTAATTCACCTTTTTCGTCTCCTTATTTCCGTCGTCTTACTTCATGATTCTCATAATCAGAAACATAAATCGATCCATTTTTATCGATTGTCAGACCATCACAATAAATATTTGAATAAGAATTTGTAGATTTATTTGATTTTGATCAAAATATCGAGTTACTCGTTTGTTTCCCTCATCAGAAATAATAAAAGAATTATTTACTTTATCAAAAATTACATCCATTGGACAATTCAATTGATTATTTTGATCTCCACTTGCATTTTCACCTGCAGTAATTTGACCAGTATTTGAGTTCAATTTCCATTGAACAATAAGATCATTCCAATAATCAGCAATATAAACTGATTTATTATTATCAATACAGATTCCTTCAGCATAAGAGAGTTGATTTAATTCATGTCCTTGACCATTTCCTCCAAGAACAGTAATTCCAAATGGTTTGTATTGATTCTTTTCTGTTTGAATTTGTTCTAAAATAAAACGTTTTCTTTTCATTCAAATCTTTTTCATTACTTTTAAGTAAAAGGAAAGGGCGAAAATAAGAAGAAAAACTTGTATTCGGAATTGTTTTAATAAAGTAAAATTTTTTTTTTGTTAAATATAATTTCTAATGAACAAAATTAATTTCAAACAATTTCTTTATTTCTTCAAATTTTTTTCATAAAAGTTTAATTTAGGAAAATGTTTTGAAATGAAAATCATTTTTTTTATTTGAAAATTCTAAACTAAAGAGATTAACTTAACTTCATTTTATTCAACAATTTAAAAATAAAATAAGATAATTTTCTCATTAAAATATAAAAATTCTATTAATTTTTAGATATTGATTTAGATTTGAATTTAATACTAGAATAAATCTTTTAAAAAACAAAAAAGTAATGATTTTATGAAAAAATTGTTAATTGATTAATTTGTCGAAAATTTATTCAAGTTTTTACAAATATAAAAATATTGAAGAAAATATTTAAAAGTTGATTGATTATTAGAAAATAAATTTCTTTTAAATTTTGATCATTTTACTAATTTAAAAAAGCGAAAAAAATCGATTTAATTTTTATTTGGAAAATTTTAATAATTTAAGAAGAAAATGAAATTAATCTTAATTTTAAATATAAGTAATTTATTTGAAAAAGGTTTTCTTTAATCAAAAGCGTAATACTATTTGAAAAATTAATTTAATTGGTTACTTAATAAACAAGTAACGCTCATCCGAGGACTCCCTTAGCTCGAGGGTGTAGGTGTGGGTGTGGGTGTGGGTGTGGGTGTGGGTGTGGATCTGTGTGTTACCATTATGTCTTTATCTATACCCCACACCTACCCAACATAATTAATTAATTTTTATTATTAATTAATAAACCTCATAATACTCAGCATCATATTTCCACAGCCAAGTATCGATAGCTTAAATCGACTGCTGACGCATAGAACCATCTCTTGAAAATTATTTCTTTAGCGCAATAGGGTGTGGGTGTGGATGCGTGTGGGTGTGGGTATGGGTGTAGTGCAAGTGTGGCTAGGGTGTGGGTGGGTGGGTGGGTGTGTGTGTGGATGTGGGTGTCTGCGTGTGGATAAAGATAAAGACATAAAAGCAACACCCACATTCACACCCACCCACACCTTCAGCGTAAAATAAAAGACGTTAAAAGACTTTTCTAAAATGAAATATAATTTCATTAAAAACACTTTGTTCAACACAAATTTATTTGAAGATGGGTGAGTATCTTTCGCTTACTCATACATCCCCATTATTTTCACAACCACATCTACATTCACACCCATATCCCACTCTCACACACACACGGCAAAATATTCTGCCAACTAAAATTTTTCGGCGATCTGGCTGTGGACAAAATACACTTAAACAAACAACACAATTACTTCGATTTTATCACATTTTGTTGTTTTTCCAAGACATATTTTTCTTCCATTAAGAAGAATACAGTTTTGTGTCAACAATGACTAATTGCACAGCATTCAAATCTATTTGATTTCATATGTATTCCCTTTCTCTTTCTCTGCAATAACATCTTTTGTTTGTTTTAGATCTTGAATGTCTTCTTTTAAATGTGTACATTCTTTCATAATAAAATGCGTTGTTGGAAAAAAGGAAAAAAGTTACAATTGTTGTTATTTTATAAAACAAAATAAACGAAGAGAACAGACAATCACACATATATAATACCATGCATAATTTACGAACTATTCAGATTTTTTCAAATCATTTCATCTGAGCAATTTCATTCTGGTAAGTTTTATATACTGAAATCATTTGAAAGAACTCAAATAAATTACTTTATTAGTCATACATAGATTTTAAATATATAATTGAAAGATTTAAAAGAAATAAGGCATATAGAAGATCGGATACTAATATTTTGTGTTATTTGTGCGAAGATCAAATTGTAATAATATATCAACAATTTTTATCTTTCACTCTTGTGGAATTCTATTAGACAAGATCATTTTTTTCTGATTAGTTTCTTTATAGTTACTATTAAAAAGTAAGAAGAAAATCAGCTAAACTTTATTCAACTAAATACATAGCAACTTACAGCTCAAAGACTCGTATGAGCTAGCTCGAACTCAATACTAACAAATTCTTTTTACGTGAGCGGATATATGTTGAGGATGAGTGTCAGTGTGGATGTGCGTGTAAATATGCTCTTCGCTTACATATACAATCACACCTTTAACAAAGTCGAGAAATAAAGAATTTAGTAGCAAGCATAAGAAATTTGGGGGAATATAAAGACGTATATGTACGCTTGATGCGTAATGTGAATATGCTGTCTTATAGGATGCTGTCCACTTTTGGAAGAAAGTATATCGAATTGATCAGGTGATATTTATATAAGGTCTTCCAAGGAAAATCTCGGAAATGGTCAGGTCTCGCAAGAATATTTAAGTTTTGATGAAAAAATAATAGAACCAATCCGCATGATTGATATTGAGAATGTCTGTGTTTTATATGGTTTAATGTGTCCTGACTGATTTCTGAAGGTGTTAAAAAATCCGGGTCGCTGATAGTTTTATCTTTGTTACATTCTGGTATTTGAAGGTAAAATGAGTATGTTTTTGAAGTAGTATATTTAAGATGAAAGCAACACAGGAATGACTGTTATTGTTCTCTGTTGGCTTCTCTTCGAATATGTACACATTGCCCTTTTTCTATATAGGTTTCCTTTACATGTATATCTTGAGGATGTGAGTCTGAATGCGTTGTTGCTTTAGCTTGACCGTTTGCCCACACTCACCCACACATATATATATCCACTCTTCTTAGTGTAAGAAATTTTATCTGTCATATGTTTATTTAAAGGTCGTGCGTTCTTTTTTATCATGTAAGAGCAGTGAAGAAACAAAAAAATGAACTCTTATTTTTCCTTTTTATATTCTTCTTCTCACGATTCCTATAAAAAACACTATATTGTATTAATAGTAAAATTAAAATGGCCCTTTCCGACTAGGAAACTGCAAAATGGTCCCAGTCTCGCGGGACCGAGACTGGGACCGGGGCCGGGATCGGGACCAAGACTAAAATTGTCAGCTAATTCCTTAGTGTTTTTATCAAGTATGAGACTAGATATTTTCTTATTTCTTTTTTTTCTTTAATTAAAAATTGACAAATGTGTTATTTTATAGTTCAAGAAAAACCGTATAGATTGAATTTACAATCGAAAAAGCGAGAATTTTCATGAATGTCATATTGTTTTTTTGCATAGATGATGACAACACCGGAATTCCGCTTAAGCCTTTATCAAGACCGGGACCGAAAAAAAGTGATTTTGCTGTTCCCTACTTCAGAACCACAACGACGTCCGCCATCCACACTTATTTTTAGACGCAAACCACTCGTCTCACTTGAAGAAGCTGTGCAACCAGCGAAACATATAATTTTTCAGATTCCAAGATACGATTCGACATTATCTGGTAACTGTAAACAACCGAAAGATGGTATGTATCGTCAATTGAACACTGTTCTAAGAAGTGAATATCGACAACATCGTGAGAGTATGAGGGGGGTGTAAGGGGAGAACGCAGTACTCACACGTACCCACATTAATACCTACATCTACACCCTCAAGATGGTGTTTGTTTCAATGCTCGTTGAATATTAACTGAGATTTCATAGTTCAATCTAAGTTTCAACACGCTATTCTGAGAGTTTTGGAAATGCTATTTAGAGATGTGAGGATAGCTGCATACCAATGTCAAAGACTGGTTACATAAATTAATACAATTCTAAGAAATACTGGTCTACTCATTCATTCTCACTCATATCTATCTAGCAGTACGTGTTTCATTGATCTTACAAAAAGACGGCCCATGAAAAACTACAGTTATCCCGATCTAATAAATTCAATAAGTATCAAATTCCTTCAAGTCCCATTACTCCTAATACTCTCTTAGGCCTCTTTCAGGGTGTAAGTGAGATCTGAACACTAGAACACCCTCGTCCATATCTGCACCCACATCCAGTCGTCAAGTTAAAACAGCGAAATGACTAGAAGAAGTAAAAAGAGTAGTAGAAGTAAAGGGATTAAAAAGGAGAAGTAAAGCGACTAAACGGTTTGAAAGGAGTAAACGGGGTTAGAGGATTAGATGGCATAAAAGAATGTAAGGAGCAAAGAGATTAAAGGAACTGAAAGAGTCGTAGACAATATAGCGTTTCGATGATTTAAAATAAGTCATAAATAGGAGTAGCCTCATGTAATCTACCAGGCCATGACAACTTCAATTTTGATGGGTGTGTAAAAAAAAATCTAGAAGTAACTAATGAAAAAAACTACATTCTATTATAAACGAGTGTGTGCAATTTAATCTTATATTTCAAATATTATCGATTTTTGCACATATCGATGCTTATTTTAGTGCTTGCTCAATGTCGAGAGAATTCTCTTAGAAGCCATATACGTTATAAAATGCCTCCGGATCTATCTCATTTCTATCATCAAGTCGATCAGCGTTGTCATCGGTGGCATCAAGGCTTTGGACATCGGGGGGTGAGTTATCATGCACTAAAAATAAAAGCGGGGTTATACAAAAATAAAAAACGTTTTCGATGTTTGCAACGAATTTGAAACTCTTTTTGGTTTCGTACAAACAAGGTTTCGTAGAGCACTATTTTTCATTCTAACAATAAAAGGGTTTTGTACATAGGCTGTTATTGAGAGTTATTGATTATTCCTTGTTTCAACAACTATTGTGTTAAAGTACAATTAAGCTTTTAAACTAACGTGGTATCCAGATAGATAAGATAACACGCAACAGATTATACCAATAATCAAGATTTGTTTTATCAGATAATCGTTTTATTGTACGAAAAAGCCTATGATTTGAATCATCATTTTTTTAAAATGATGTTCATCGAAAAAAGTGTAGTAGAACTTATAGGTGTAGCAGCTAATGAAATTGTACAAAGAAAAATGTTGTACGAATAAAGACTATACTTTCTCAAGTGAAGTATTAAAAGTTGTTACCTTGTTGATCAACGC